TCTCATGCTGAAGACAGAAGAAGTAGGGAACCCACTTTAACATCACAGGTGAAGGGCAGTTACTTAGAAAATGAGGTTGAGATTTTCTTCCTTTAACTTTTCTTCAAAGAAAGTGGAAACTTTTTTTTGCATGAGTTGCCACAATTTTCCCACCATTACCATCCACGGCATTTTTATCTGTAAAAAAAGGGAAGGTTTTGTGTGTTTGTATGCATAGCACAGTTTAGGCACCGGCTTTGGAGGTGGACTGACAAACTTTGAATTGTGGCTTCCTAACTGACTGGCTATGTGGTTCCAGGCAAGTGACTTAACTTCTCTGTGCCTTAATTTTTTCAGCTGTAAAATGGTAATTCGAACAGTACCCAATTCTCCATGCTTTTGAGCAGTCTAAAAATAAGGCAATGTGGAAAGGGCTCAGAACAGTATCTGGCACAGGCTAAGTGCTCAAGAAATGTCAGTTTTAATGTTTTAAAGAAATGGTCCGGTAAGTGATTGAATAAAACACTGGCATGGGATGACAAGTTCCAAATGTCAAAGAACATGTGTACTTTATTCACCATTTCATCCTAGATGTCTAGCACAGGGCTTGGCACAAAGAAGATGTTTAAAAAATGTTATCTGCAGCAGGCATTTAATACAGCAGTGAAGTTGCTATTTGAGACACCCACGTCCTCCACTGGGGTGCCTCGTTGGAGCTCTGTCTCCACTTCCCATCCAGCTTCCTGGCAATGTACCTGAGAGGTGGCAGGCAATGGCTCAAGTGTTTGTGTCCCTGCCACTCACACAGAAGACTTAGACTGAGTTTCACTTCTTGGCTTCAGTCTGGCTCAGCCTTTTCTGTTGTGGGCATCTGAGGGAGTGAACCAGCACATGGAAGATCTCTCTGTCTCAATGCCCTTTAAATAAAATGAATGTAAAAAATTAAAATAAAAAAAATTTGCTGAACAAACTGGTAGTGATTAGGGAGGAGCAGAGGGGCACCCAGTGTGTACTGCCAACCTGGCCACTATCTTCCTCCTGTGTTACCTGCTGCACCCAGCTGTGAGATTTTGGGGAGGTCATGAACCTTCCAGAATCTCTGCTCTTTTGCAATGAAGAGCTACAAACTAAGACAAAAATCTTAATTCTAATACACTTTTCAGGAAAAGTAGTGGGGAAAACCTTACATTTTCTACTTGAAAATAACAATATGGAGAGTGTAGAAGGTTGCTGCATTATAGGTTGAGAATTAAATATAAATAAGTTTTCTCTGATAATGTGGTGGTTAATGTAGAATACAAAAATATACAGGAATGAAACAGACATCTTGTGATACGATCGTTGTTTTTTGTCCTTGTTTACACTCGTGTGGAACTGTGGTCTTCCTACTTTTTACTTGTTGAATGTTATAGTTAGTGGTGAACTGGACCTGTGATTACAGAGTGGATTGAAATTATGTCTTTGCAAAAATTACAGAAAAAAGAAAGGAAGGAAGGAGGGGGATGGGAGGGTAGTATGGTTTTCTTTGAATAGTACCTGTGAAATACATGCAATCTGTTTTTAAAAAGAATTTTAATGCTGATCGCATCATCACAAAGGGCAGTACTTGTTGGTACAAGTACTACATGAAACAAACAGGACAGGACCAGGTAAGAACTAAACTCTTGATAAAAAGTAGTTATTTATAACATATAATAATTATGACTGCAGGTATGTTTCAGAAAACCACTTTCCTACAAACGTTAGTAGTATTGAGAGTAATTCTTCTGGTTTGTATTATAGAGTACAGAAATGGACTTTATACTCCAGGTCATAAATATGTTCATATTAGTGTCAAGAAGACAGAATAAGTAAAGAAATACACATCTTCTAGGTAACCCTTTTTTGTAGACAAAGAGTTAAGAAGTTAATATTTGTAGATGGATTTAAGCATTTATAAATTTTCAAAATGCCTGGAAAACAGGCACAACTACCCATTAAACTAGAGGCGGAATAGAAATGGCTGAAGTTTCATAGAATGGCTTGCTAGGGACCCTTTGGAGTAAAGATTAGCAAATGGCCATCTAAGGACACAGCCTGAAAGCTGCTAGGTTCATTCATCCCTTCTACATTTGGCTTCCTCCCATGTGCAAGTTGAAGTGCTGTGGCCATGGAGTTGATTCACATCTGAAAGGAGAGAAATGGACCAGTGACTAAGAGAAGAGCCGTAGCTGATACTGGGAGTAAGAGCAGCTTATACATAGACAGTGTGATATCCCCTCCTGTGGGCTTCTGGTACACTCCATGAATACTTCCCAGAATCCTAGTTACCAGGTAGTTATTTATGTTGCTGCAACTAAGAGCTCCTGCAGGGAGACGGAGTCCTGCCCCTTGTAGCACCCACCTTCCACAGAGCTTAAGTATGTGTTGAAGTGAAGCCAAAGGGATCAAGAAGATTGGCCCAGGAATGACTTAGCACGAGGTACTTGGACCCCTACTGCTCCACACCCATTTTCAACCCTCCACATTACTCTAAATAGTTCAGCATCAGTGTGTGGAAGGGAGAGCTGTGATCCCACAAACATGGCTCTTGGAGTAAAAACCTAGCCTGTACAGTGGTGGCCTACAATTATCCCATGGTAAACCTGGCTAAGAAGCCTTCTGTTAGGGGTTTCCTCCACCCTCTTCTCTCAGTCCATCCACAAATGCCTCACAGCCGGCACAAACAAAACTGAGCTTAACAGCTTTGCAAATAAGCTGAATTTTTCTCTCGTTCTTTCTCTACAGCCGTCCACCTACTAAACTATTTCATGTGTTTTCCTGGACGATTTCTCTCTAATACAGCCTTTTTAGTGTTCTCTGTGCCTCCGCCTCCCACTAGGATCACCCCAGTAGTCTTTCTGCAATTATGCTTACATGTGGAGATACCTTCCTAAAGGAAGGTACGAGTTGCCTCATATTTTTTTTCCTGCCAAGATCCAGGCTCCTAATATCTTAACTTTAGCTAATCTGCTTTGATTATGAAGATCCTCCATATTTTGGCTCTACCCAACCTGTGTAAGGTAGATGTTAACTGAATTAGCAAGGGCAGAATCTCCTGTTCTACTTGGATGAATGACCTCACAGCATTTGTCATCGAAACTGTTTTTTCATTTAAACACCATTTCAAAATGTTTGGTTCTATGTGCTTTGCCCATGTCATTTCCCATTTTGGAATAACTTTATCCTTCTTGAGCTACTTGAATAGCTTTCACTATTCAAGTGCTAGCTTTTCAATTAGTGCTTTAAGTCCCATGTGTCAGTGTTAACATATAATTATATTATCTTAGGATTCATTGTTTCCTGTGCTTATAAATGATACTTTCTCAGCAAAACTATACATTTCTTGAGGACAGGGAATTCATATTATTTTTCTACTAATTTATTCAATAAATAAATATCTATCAGTTCTAGCATTGTGTCAGGCACTGCACTGGGTTTTGGACTATAGAGATAAACATGTCAGACACAGCCCCTGATCCTCATAGCACCTATATTCTAGTTTGTGTGTGTGTGTGTGTGTGTGTGTAAGAGAGAGAGAGACGGGGGAAAGAGAGGGAGGGAGAGAAGGGGGGAAGAGAGAGAAAGATAAAGATAATTTACTTTTATAATAAATAATTTGAAACAAGCTAACGTTATGAAGAAAAAGTACAGGGCACTGAGAGACCATGGGGAAGCTTCATATTAAAAGAAAATGCTCAGCTGGTGCTGCGGCTCACTAGACTAATCCTCTGCATGCGGTGCCGGCACACCGGGTTCTAGTCCCGGTTGGGGCGCTGGTTCTGTCCCGGTTGCCCCTCTTCCAGTCCAGCTGTCTGCTGTGGCCAGGGAGGGCAGTGGAGGATGGCCCAAGTGCTTGGGCCCTGCACCTGCATGGGAGACCAGGAGGAAGTGCCAGGCTCTTGGCTTCAAATCGGCACACCATGCCAGCAGTAGTGGCCATTTAGGGGGTGAACCAACGGAAGGAAGACCTTTCTCTCTGTCTCTCTCACTAACTCTGCCTGTCAAAAAAAAAAAAAAAAGAAAGAAAGAAAGAAAATGCCCATGAGTTGAAATCAGATGGACAAAAGAGAAGTAAACAGGCAAATGTCCAAAGGGCTAAAGAAGCTTGGGGGAAAAGCTTGAGAAAACGTTGCCCTCTGTAAACTGCTGAGGTCAGAAAATAAGTCACATGAGGGAGGCTGCTGGGTACGAGTGACCTTGTATTGGAATCAAGGATGTGCTCAGTGAGTGCAAACTACAGGTGGTCCTTAAGAACTAGGGCATATGAGAACAAAGGTCATTTCTGAGATTTTATTGTTTGTATATTTGGTTTTCAAACAATGCCAACATCCAATGCTTAAAAACCAGAGCCCTTCATTGCCTATGAAAGCGTGAGGAATGCCCGTTTTAGGAGGCAGCCAGGGCAGTGAGAATGCAGAGGGAGGGATGTTCCTGCAAGAGTTCTCTGTGGCATGATGACTGAGAGGACCTGCTGCTAACAGCTTCCAATTTTTGCTTTCCTCAAGTTCAATTAAAAAAAACAAAAACAAACATAGATGAATAGCAACCATGATACAGACTGTGGTCCATTCCACATTATAAGTAAGATGCCAAAATGCTTTACACAGGCCACCTAACAGATGGTAATGGATTCCAGCCATTACCAATGTGAGTGAGATTCAAACCAGTGACCCCAGAGGTGAGAGGCTGTATATCCAATTACAAATTCTCTCTTTCCGTTAAGTGTTAAGATGCCTAAAGCAATATATTTTATTTACATCAAGATGCATTGTATAAACTATATTTGATAAAAGAGATGACTTCACGTTCTCAACTTAAATCAAAGAATGCTTACTTAAGTATTTTTTTAATTGAATCAGACTTTAATGCCATCGTATAATCTTTTGGTTAACAGTGCTCATCTTGATGATTCTAACAAAGGAAAACATGGAAGTTAATACTTAAGTTGTAGAGCTTATGAATTCTATAAAAATACACGTTAGAAAATGGAAGAGAGTTACCTGGGACATCTGTGAAGGTTTCTCCAAGGACAGAAACGTGGAAATTGAGACCTAAATCCTTAAGATGCAGTAATACTTTAAAAAAACTCTCTGGATCTTTATCATGCTCCCTGGGAAAAAAACACACAAAACATAACTTGTGTCACTTTTGGAAAAGTGGTTTCACTTCTCATAGCAGCAATTGCTTTCAGGGTCTTCTGCTGGCTGACAGAGATTCTCCCCACAGCCCGACACAGCGACATCAGCACATCGTGTTTTCACATCTACCAACTTCTCTCTTATCAAAACCCAGTCATACGGAAGTTTTCAGGCTCTGCAGCCTTTTTTAAAAGGAGAAATCTGTCTTGTTTTTCACACTTTTAGGTTAGCCTATGGAAAGTATACGGAAAGTATACTGCGTTTTCCTTTCTTCTAAAATGGTTAATTTTTCACTTAACATGAGTTTGGGTTTGTTTGTTTGTTTGTTTAAGACCAAGCTTCAAAGGGTGACTCTACTGATCACACCAAAGATGCTTTTCATTTCCATGGGTCTGAATAACTTCCTCCCACATTTACCCAGCCCGTCTGTGCCCACAAGGAACACACAATTTAGGGAGTGAGATTACAGACCCTTTCACTAATCTTGCAGTTTAAATAATTGAATGGGGAATTATAAATACATCAAAAGGGGATAGGTCTGAGCCTATGTCTGCTGAGTTTTAACTTAGGAGTGGAGGCTATTCAACATATAAAAGAAGAGTAATAAAGATCATTCACTTAGTAGAAGCCTTGAAAAACATGAATTATATTTTGTTTGTTTATCTGTCTTCCTTGCAGTGAAAGAATGAGAGGCTAAAGGACACTACAAATAAAAAAAATTTCCGCAATCCAATAAATCACATTAAAATGGAATGAGATTTTTTTTACTTTCTAAGGTGTGAATATTTCAGTATTTCTTGCATTCAATTACACTGTTTTAAATTATCTTATTTCAGACAGATGTAGGCCAGATATCTTAAAAATATTTGGTTTTTATTTATAACTCAGAATTTTTGATTTCTTTTTATATTCTGGAGAAATAGTTACATATCAGTGATTTAGTTTCTCATTTACCAACTAATTATGTAAAATAAATCTGTAAATTGATCAAACTGCTATATGAAATATGAAAATTACATCATTCAGAAAGTCTCATGAAAAATGACATCTGTACCCTTAAATGTGTTAATTCACAATTCAGTCAATATTTTCAGTATCATGAATTAAAACAAATGCATCTTCTAATTAACATTTTTAAGTGGCATTTATAATCTTATGAAATTATAAGATCTTATAGAATAAGAGTTCTATAACAATTTATTCTAAGCACTATATCTCTCAGCTTGATTTACTTCAAATAATAAAGAACACAATGGCAAACTGTTCATTACTTTTTAAGATGATGTGTATTACATACATGTACCATTGGGGAGTCTGCATAGTTCTCACATATACTAGTGCTATGGGCAAGAACAAAGACTCAAAGCAGTTTGGAAGTAGAAAATATACCATATGTTATCTTCAACCATATCAATCAAATAGCTGCCTCCTTATCTGTAAAATCTTTTTGTAGTCTGATTCTCTTGAAAACACTCAGATGAAAAGAATGGAAACAATATAACAATATATCTTAAAGAGGGAGTAATGCTATAGGGAAATCTAACTACTCAGTTCTTTTAAATTTTTCATTTTAAGTTCTGAAAATTTTGGCTGTGGACCCCCGAGAGACCATCTATCCTAAATATTTCCTGCCAGTGTGTGTGTGTGTGTGTGTGTGTGTGTGTACATGCGTGTGAAAAGTAGATGCAGTTTAGGGTTGGGAGGAGATTTAATAGCGTAGGGGCCACAGTTCTTAAGAGAGTCCAGTGAGAGTATTTTCAATGAGGCAGCCTCTATGAACCCTCCGACTTAAGGTCTCTGTACAAGATAGATGCATTACAATCCTACTGTATTCTTTAGATATTTCTTATAGGTGGATAAAAGCTTTTATATTCAATAGTTACTTTGCATAAAAACACAAAAGAGATTTATGTGAATCCCCACTCTTTTTGTTTAAATCATAATATGTGGATGAATATAAGGTGAGATTTTTCTTTCCCCAAGTTATCCCTCAGAAAAGGAGATATTTTATACCAAAGTTCTTATAAAGTCTCCCAAAATATCAGGCACTTGCTCAATTATTTACTTTTAACAAAGTACTGATTGGGGAAGATACAGTAGCCTGAAACAATATTAACTGAAGAGGCTTTTGGATAGTTTTAGCATTAATTTGATGGAACTGGCTAAAATGGAAGCAAAGGAACTTAATACTGAGTTAGTGATGATTTGGGGAGAGATGGCCTAACAATGCTAAGTGCTGGGTGTTGTTGAAAACATGTACTAAAAGATCACTAAAAAAAAAAAAAAAAGTAATAGAGTAAGTGGTTATCAGACATCTTGAGTAGTAAGAATAGTTGAAAAAAGATATCCAGCGATGGCATCACACATTTTCACAAAGTCCTACAACCCAAACCATGTACATGGAATTCCAGATGACAGGTAGGGGAACAGGCATGCTGCCTATAAAGGTGGCTCTATTTTGATGACAAAGAAGGCAGGGGACTAGAGTTAGACAAAAACTGGTTCATAGAATAAGGTGGAAAAAGAGGAGTACTTCTAAAAATACTCCTCATCATATAGTTATAAAATATTATTTATATTTAAATTAGTAGATTACTTATCATTAAGTACACACTTGATTACTTCATCTGTATCTGTTAAAGGTAATATAGTCCATTTATGGGGCTGGCATTGTGGCTTAGCAGGTTAAGCTGCCGCCTGCGATGCTAGCATCCCGCATGAGCACTGGTTTGAGTTCTGGCTGCTTCATTTCCAATCCAGCTCTTGGCTAATGCATCTGGGAAAGCAGCGGAAGACAGCCCAAGGACTTGGTCCCCTGCCACCCACACGAGAGATCTGAATGGAGTTCCAGGTTCTTGGTTTTGGCCTGGCTCAGTTCCAGCTGTTGCAGCCATTTGGGAGTGAATCAGCAGATGGAAGATCTCTAGCTGTGTCTCCCCTGACCCTCTCTCTGTAACTCTGTTTTCAAAACAAACAAATAAATAAAAAATATAGCCCATTTAGCTGAAATTTTTGAGCTTTTCTTTTAGAAGAATGGGAAATTGCTTAACATCCAATAATTAAATATGTGAGCAAATCTTTAGTCACAGCCATATAACAAGGCACAGATGACATTAAATGTCAGAGCTCAGTATGTTTTTTTCACATGAAGAACTCATTCTAAATATCCAATGGATTACTCATGGATTTGACACAGCACCCACAAAATTAATAAACACTTCTAGCAGAATGTAAATCCTTCTTAAATTTCTTTCTAGGAAATCTAACATGAAATTTTCAATGTATGATTTCAGCATGAAGTACTAAATATAAAATGGAGGATTTGAAAATAATATACTGAGTGCCCCCTTCTGCTAACAGCTTAAGAGAAAATATACATTTAATGATACAGGCAATTTTCTACAACCACACTTGCAGATTTGTGGGCTTATGAATACTCTTATAGAAAAAATTGAATTTATTTTCATGAAAGAGAGTCAAAGAAAGAGAGGGAGTGGGAAAGGGAGAGGGAGAAATACATGACAGAAAAGAGACCTTCCATCCATCGATTCATTCCCAAAATGCCTGCAATAGCCAGAGCTGGGCCGGGCTAAAGCCAGAAGCCAGAAACTCAGTCTAGTTCTCCCATGTGGGTGACAGGGACTCAAATATTCCAGCCCTGATCTGCTGCTTCCCTAGGTGTACATTAGCAGGAAGCTAGAATTGGAATTGGAGCTGGGTCTCAAACTCAGGCACTCAGATATGGGATGGGGTGTCCCCAGTGGCATCTCAATCCCTGCACCACACGTCTGCCCCTAAATACTTTTCTCTTATACACTGAAGGTAGGAATGAAAACTGAGACAATCTTTTAGAAGACAACTTTGTTATGTAAATTCTATGCCTTAAAGCTGCATATCTTTTGCCCCTAAGATTGCAATTTTCAAAAACTAGCCTATAAAATAAAGATGTGCACAGAAATTCAGTTAGACTATGTCTATCATAGCTTTGCTTATCATGGTAACTATCTATAAACATCCTAATGCAATGATTAGTAAACATGTTTTGACATGTGCACATGATGCAATGCCATGCAGTCACAAAACTGATGTTGCAGAAGTATCCTTCTTGACATGTAATAATACTCAAGAAACACTAATAAGTAAAAGTAAGATGACAGACAGAGAAGTACTACATGATGTTTTTGTTAGACAAATAGATGTGTGTACCTAGAAAAAATTTTGGGATGAAGCAAACCAAAATGTTAACAGGATTTGTCTCTAGAGAGTTTTTATAAATGTTTCCTTTTGAAACATATTTTCTTTTTAATAAATATTTTTCTATATATCATTTTAATGCTTTTAAGAAGTTACTCCTCCTAATATTAGACCATAAAATTGCATTCACAGTATTTTTGCTTAACCTCATAATATTTTCAGTATTTACAGGACCATAATTTCTTCTTCCCTATGACTTCCCTGTGTTTGACAGCTGCCAATCAAGAAAACTTGATTTATCATGAAACATTCCAGAAGATGATTCAGGGTCCCAAGTTCCCCAATAATTTCCCTACTCTTGAGTTGGTAAGAATGAAAGAGTTTGGCTGGGAATTCTTTCCTCCATATCCCAACTATGGCAGAAGCGACCAGCGCAGAAATATTTCAGGCTTACTGGAAGCAGTAGATACAGCAAGAACAGCTTTTATTCCCAAATATTATTCAGAACATTTGAAAAGCATAAACTGTTTCCATGTGTTTTTTCTTCCTATATCTGTTCTCTCTCTGTTGCCTTTCCCGTTTAGTTTCTCAGAGCTAAATTTCCTCTTATTCCTCACTTAACATTCATTCAGTAAATATTTATTGAGGATTTCTAGGTTCTCCATACTTGTCACTTATACTAAACTGTTACCCTTTCTTATTTTCTCACATAACTTTATACATAGGGAATGCAATCTCTTTTTCATCTAGTTCCCTGCCTTGCTTGATGCAGAAACCT